ACCTCCTGAGTTTGTTACGAATCCCCTCTATTTTCTTTTGGATTTGAAGATAGGGCCCTTTCTCACACATCCTTTATTCTTGGCACACTGGGTACTCAGCAAGCTTTTCTTCCTGAGGTTGAGACGAGATTACATGCTAGCCTGTGGAGGTATGAAAAAAACAGAACCAGGCCTGGTCTCCTTGACTCAGAATTGGATTCCAAGCATTGTCGCTTTTTTCCCCACAGCTTAGTCTGGTTACTTGTGTCACCACTTTCTTGAGGCCTTTCCCTTTGCTTGCTTTCTATATCCTTGGTGCTTACTGTGTGATAGAAAAACAGCCTGCTCTCAGCTTTCTTCTGCAAGCCACTTTCTCTGCCTTGTCGATGGGGCTGTTTCACTAAGGCATATGAACCCTGTGCTTTAAACACTTAATTTTCTCACGTCACCACAAGGTAAAGCTATGTCCCTTCCTTGGGTGGTGGGTAGGGACCTGTCTGCTTCCCAGACCCCTGCCCTTCTGCTGCCTCCCCTGACTGAGCCAAGTTTCTGCAGTTCCCCTAGCACCTGAGCTGCCTTGGATGCTGCCCTCTCAGCGTGGGATCTGCCCGCCTCTTCCTCTCTGTCACCTAATGAAGTACAGCCCAGACATTCTTCCTTCCTCATTGGTTTCATCAGCCAGGCCTGTATGTATGCCCTATATGTAACCAGTTAGAGCACTTACCACATGTGTCTGTCTAAAGTATAAGAGTGTAAACTCCTTGAGGGCAGGGACTACACCTGTCTACCTGTTGTTTCTCTTCTTCCCACGTGCATCGAGCACTTACTACATATCATATGCCATGAAATGATAGGTGCTAGTTGGCCAGAGATGAGCAAGAGGCAGCCCTCTCCCAAGGGAATTCATGATGGAAAGATGAGTAAATAAATTCTAATTCAGGAAGACACTTTGACCAGCACATATATAAATTAGTCCTAGAAATGCCTCGGAAACAAGTGATTCTGAAACTTTGGGAAGGTTGGGGACCTGTGATCCTGTTTCTGAGCAGAATTATGAAGAATTAAAGTCCTTTCTGTCTCTGTGTCCTGGGTACTTGATTTGGTGCCTCTTGTGTAGTATGTTCTCTAAATTATAGGGAGGAACGGAGGAAGGAAGATGCTATTCAGGAAAGGAATTGGGAGAGGAAAGTGATGCTATTAGAAGAAAATGAGAGCTGGGCATGGTGGTGCACACTTGTAATCCCAGCATTTGTGAGGCTGAAGCAGGAGGATCACTATAAGCTCAAGGCCAGCCTGGACAACATAATGACAGCCTGTCTCAAAAAGAAAAGAAAAAAAAAGGATGATAATGAGGAGACAAGCTGTTGGAAAATCAAATCATCTTTTGTCCTTTGAAGTCCGTTATTTGAGTCACAAGAAAGGAAACCTGGACTTACCCTCCATTATGGGGTTAACTAGCCTCATTCTAGGACAAGTGAGCAGAGAGATTGCAATGGTAGGTTCTCGCAAGATGTGGTCCCCTGAAAAATGACAAAATTCATTCTAAGATCAATTGAGTGTAGCTTGATATTTTCATTTTCCAGGCGACTCTTGTCCTTTACTTCCACCCCCATCTGGGGTAGAGGTCCCCACCTCCCCTCCATCTCCTGGCCGATGGATGCTGTCCTTAATTGGGTAGGACAAATGGCCCGTGCTTTCCTGTACTCTGCTTTTTTCCAGAGGCACTGAGACATCCCGCTGGCTGAGTGAGTGATCCCTGACCTTTCAGGGGGGTCGATGGAAGGCTGTTTTCTCTGTGTGTCGGGAAGGTGTGTGGTCTTCTGTAGCATTGCTGTGTGCAGAACTGCGGTCCGTGGATCATGCTGGTCTCTCTCTGCGAGTCACTTAGCACTTGCCTCCTCCAAAGGGGTCCCAGCAATTTCAGGACAGGAGTAGAACTGATCCCAGGGACCTTATTCCATTAGCTTGAATGTGGAATGTAGTAAAAGCAAAATGTCTCTCTACATGTATGTTAGTTTTGTGCATAGAAAGTAGTAATCCTTGACTTAGTCCAAGATTTTAGTTTCTGTTTCTTTGGCTCAAAGTAAGGGTCTTCAAGCTTGTCCTGGTAGATTTGAATATGTGTTTTTAAATGTTGGAACCAATGCTGTACCAGGCACATAGTTAAAGACATGTTGAATTCTTTCCCTTTTTATTCAGTAAGAACGGATTGTTTTTTTAACTGTGGACTTTTGTTTGTATGTTTTTGTTTAACTCAATTCCATGCATTTAGGAGTTGATGGATTTTTATGTTTGCGTCTATCCTTTTCAGTAATTTTTCAGCTGAGATCTGGATTATTACATCATTGTCCTGACTCTGCCCCTGAAGCCCAAATTGCAGCCTCAGTTTCTCTGTAGCCATTCATTAACTGCTCTTAAGCCCATTGGTCCCAGCATGATAAAATGGAGTTACATTTTTCCTTCCAAATCTTCAGTTAGGGATGGGAGGGAAAAGAAGTCAGGTTCGCTGCTGAAATGCTGCAATGCTTTATTTTGTACCAAAAATTTAATGATGAAAAAGAACAATCCATTTATAAGCTCAGCATGATTTATTTTCATTTTTTTCATGGTGCAATTAAATACATTTTTTGTCTTATGTTGCATCCTTTAATTTTTTTCTCTTCTCCTTATTGTGGGCATTTGAGGGGTGGGATTATGTTTTACAGTTCTTTTGTGTCGTGAGTTTCCACCACTGTTTCAGAAATATAAGAAGAACTTTATCAATAGCCAGTTAATGTGTTTAGGGTTGTGCAAATGTTCTTTTTCTTTCATATTTTAATCTGTGGTCAGTGATTATTTGTTTTGAGTTAGATCCTGATTGCTTTCAAATTCCCTAACATATATGTTCTAGCTTCCTATTTCTTTCTTTTTCTCCTTTTCTATTAAATCTTTTGCTTTTCAGGTCATTGCTGAGAATCATCTTTATTTTTTCTGGTTATATTAATTCAAACATTTGAAAATTCACTTTGTTGGCATTCAAAGGAGTTTCAGAATTTTCTCGAACCTTTGTATTTCCCCAGTACTTTCATTTTCTGAGGGAAAAGAGTCACATCCTCGTACAGTAAAGATCTATGTCCCCCTTCTCTCTGATTTACCCGTCAGTCATTGACTTGTATTTGTGTGTAATAAACTCTTCTCTTAAATTGAATTAAATGAAGGGATTATTTCAACCATGTAGCATTACCTTGGTAATTATAAAATTATGGAACCATTTCTCTTTAACCCTGTCTTTTGTAGATTAATTTGTTTTGTTCGTCCAGTTTTACAGTGTGCTTTCTAGTAAATGTAGACTCTAGGCCTCAGCCACCCAGAACTCAAAAGATGATTGTGTTTTTAATTGTGATCCTATAGGAAAAAATGGTAATTGTTGAAAAATTTATACACTTTCTACCATGTACCGAGGTCTTGAAGACCAGCCTCTGGTGTTGGTGCACTAGCAGGTCTTAGAGGTATCAACATACACTCAGCTGTGAGTTAGAGCAGAAGGATACAAGGCAGGGCCAGGAAGGAGAAAAGGGGTAAGAGGCACAGCCCAGTGGAGGCTTCAGAGGAGTCACAGGAGACACACTGCGCTGTCCCAGCAGTGAGTACTGAGAACAGGAGTGAAGCGCTACCTACTTTTCGTTACCAAATCTCAGAGACCTAGCGCCTTGCACGCACCCAAATTCCAGAATCCCCAAAGGAAGATGAGCCTTGGCTATAGAGCACGGTGTACAGTGTAGGCACACAGTGAGCTGCTTTCATCAGTTCTGGGGATGGTAAGAAAGCTTCCTTGTCTAGATCCCCTGCCCAGCCAGGGCTTTACCCCGTAAGTAGCCTCTGAGGGGAGAGCATGTGCTGTGTCACTTTTAGTTAAGGGACTGGAATTTTCTAAAAAAAAAAAAAAATTTCTGTTCAGAGGGTCTGGAAGTCTGTGGCAGTTGATATTTTTCACTTGTGCAAGATGGTCCAAGTAATGGTATCGTGTTAGTAACAGTGCCTAGTGGATAAGCTGTCTTCCATACTTCTGAGGGAATGTTTTTTTAACAGCAATTTCCCCCATAGAAAACCCTTCCCTGAAAACGTGATAAAGGTGCACTCAGATAACAACAGGTAAATCAGCCCCTCCCCATCTGAACATGAAAATATTCACAGACAAGTGGACTGGATATTGAGGTGCTGGAGGCCACATTTTACTTCCTATTCTTGAAGTCTTCTCTGAGGTAATGTTTTCAAGACAGCTGTTTAATAAATTGGCCTAATAGTGGCAGTAATGGAAGGTACTTTTTTTTACCCTGGGTGTGAGGTAATCTCTTCACTGTGGATCCAGACAAAGCCGTCCCTGTCGGGTACCAGATCTGGGTGAGGTGGGGATTCTTTGCGGTCCTGCATTTCACAGGAATGACTTTTTTTTGGCAATACACTGGTCACTTGATTACCTAGTAAGTATGGATTCTTTCTGTTTGCTTGTCTCATTTTGGGGGGCAAAGATGCCTTGGTTGGTGATGGAGTATAAATTTAGCAGTGAACTAGACTAAGATATTTCTCTTGAGGGATGAAAATATGTACAAGTGTAAGAGTTTTTTGTTTTATTGGTTTTTTTAAGGTTTATCAGAAGCACCACAGTAATTCAGAGAAGTAGTAGAGGGTTTTATGGAAGACCTGAAAAAATATGAATTCAACTGATCCCCCAACCTTCCTCCCCTCCTGTGCTGCATGCTGTGTCCTGGCTACAGCAGAGGGGCTTCCATCAGTAAAGACTACCTCTAGCAAAAAAAAAAAAAAAGCCTCAAGGCTCTTGTCAAATAGTCACAGAGTTTAGTACAAGGAAACCAACAAGTAAGAGCACTATGAAGACAGCAAAGTGCAATGATAGATAATAATGTAATGTTTTTAAAAAATGGTTTGATTTTCAGGTTGTTTTCCAATACCTTTTATTAGTCATGGGCAGAAATCACTGTGAATGCCCATTTTTGAATGCTCTTCTCCCCTTCTCTTCGCAGCATACATAAAAGGTGGGTGGATCCTTAGGAAAGCCTGGAAGATTTACAATAAGTGCTACCTGGACATCAATGCCCTCCAGGAACTGTATCAGAAGAAGCTAACTGAAGAGCCCTTGACTTCTGATGCTGCAAATGATAATCACATTGTGGCTGAAGGGGTGACTGAGGAGTCCCTAAACAGACTGAAAGGTGCTGTGAGCTTTGGATATGGCCTTTTTCACCTTTGCATATCCATGGTGCCCCCAAACCTGCTCAAAATCATCAACCTGCTGGGTTTTCCTGGAGACCGCCTACAGGGGCTTTCTTCACTGATGTATGCAAGCGAAAGTAAGGACATGAAGGCCCCTTTAGCTACGTGAGTAGCTATATTGCAATGCTTTGGTAGATAATATAGTGTTGAAAGTAAGTAAACCACAAAAACTTTAAAGGAAACTTCAGGAAAAATGCTTGGTTGGTTGGCAGTACTCTGCCTTACATTTTAAAACCACACCCAAGAGTGCTTTCTGGGCTGCTGGTGGTGGTATAAGCTTCTTTAGTTAGACAACAAGGCACACTCTTACGGCTCACGAGTCCTGTGTTGTCAGCAGGTAGAGTGACCTTATAGTTTACCCTCCAGTGATTTTGTAAGCAGTCTTTGTGTGACTTTGATCATTGTCACATCTGGCAAAGAACTACCTATTTGTGATTTGAGCAGCTTTTCAGCTACTGGTGTTCTTTGTCTGTGATATTGGAGAGATCTTTGGTGAAATATATTTCCACTCATGTCAGCATTGAGGAATTAGGATGTTGACTCTTAATCAGTTGGTTGTTATTTAAAAATCGTTAATTTTTCATTTGAAAAATATTTATGTCCCCCCAAACACATTATATTGGTCCACTATTCTTTGAATTAACAGATTTGTATCTTGCTATCATTTCTCTTTATATGTTAGTATTATTTCATGCTTATCTCCAAGAAGAAATGAATGGAATTAATATTAGTGTGATCTCTGTAAGTGAATTGAATTTATGAGCATATTAGATACATATATTTATATGAAAATATATCACATGCTGGTTTTATCTGTTCGTTAAAGCAGATCTCTGACTGTTCTGTTTACTTGTTTCTCGAGACATTTTTCTTTAACGAGGTTGAAGTAAGGAAATGTTAAGTAGTTTGTTTTTTAAATTGAGTATCTTCAAAAACTGGAGAAAGGACCTGCAAGCTGTTCCTCTCACACCCTTTTAACTCGATTTAATATAATTTGTGACTTTGGGTCCTATATTTAAATTTATATTGAGACTTACACTCTAACTTTTATGAACACAAGAGAAAGTCACATTTTTCTTTGGCAAAAAGTAGAAGCTTTTATTACGAGAGGATGGTAAATTCACAGTGACTGTGCATTGATTTGATTGCTAAAGTGTAGAATTCAGAGATGGACGCCGGTCATACCTCCAGCAGTCCATTTCCAAGGAGCAGCAGAGCTAACCGCTCCTGTTGCCTCTTCTCATCTGAGGGGAGCCTGCTTTTGTGTATATATGTTGTGCTAAAGTGGCAGCTTTCCAAAAACTCAAAACTAATGTGAGAAACAGGCTCTGACTTTACTTCTTTGAAGACTGCTGAGTAAGTTTTCGGCGGGAGTGTGTATGGGAGGAGCCGACGATGCTGTTGGCTGGGAGGCATCTAGAGGACCGGGCTCACAGTCTCCCTCCCCCGCAGACTGGCTCTCCTCTGGTACCACACTGTCGTCCGCCCATTTTTCGCCTTGGATGGCAGCGATAACAAAGCAGGCCTGGACGAAGCTAAGGAAATTCTTCTCAAAAAAGAAGCTGCTTATCCAAATTCTTCCCTCTTCATGTTTTTCAAGGGACGGATCCAGCGATTAGAGGTACAGTGCCTTCCTCTTTTTTTAAAAAAAGAAACAAAGCCTCCGATGATCACATCCCTGACTGCTGCTCGGGGCCCAGGAGCATGGAGTCCTTGTGCCTTTCCTGGCATCACTCGGAGCAGGGCTCTTCCCGGAAGCCAGGGTGTTAGTTACCTTCTGCTCGGGCCATAGGTGAGGCAGGGCTGGGTCCTCCCTGGTAATGAGACGTGATTGAGGTGCATGAGAGTGTTGTTAAACCGCTTAGGTGGAGAACACAAAATATAATTTTCTCCTCCCTGGGTTACTAATAACCCATTTCTAAATTTTGATCTTAGCTAACAATTGATTTGTACAAAAGTCGCTGCCTTAAATGTCAGGACAGCATCATCTTTGAAATAATAGCAATGTTGTCATATTTTCAAGTGCTTCATTTGGCTGGATGTTGTGCCAGGAGCTTTCAATACACAGGCCCGGTTGTTCCTTAGAGCAACCCTGTGCATAGATGATGCATCCGCTGCAGGTTATGTAAAAGAAGCAGGGTCCCAGGCACGAGTCAGTAACTTCTGCGCTCTCCCAGCAGCGAGCCCAGGAGTCCCTTGGCAACACGGGAACTTGCCTGGCTTCTGGAGGGCTCTGCTTCTCCTTTCCCTGCTAACAGCCATGAAAAGCATGAAAATAGAAGAGATCTGTTATATACACGAAAAAAGTGGCCCTTAAATTTTATTCTCCTCCTTCTCTTTGTTTCTCAAATTTCTTTCAAAAGTTGAGAGACAAAGTCTGGGGCTGAGGATGGAGCTCAGTGGGTAAAGCATTTGCCTGAGTGGGTAGAGCATTTGCCTGACATGCACAAGGCCCTGAGTTCAATCCTGGAACCACCAAAAAAGGTCTAGAAGTAACTTTTATTATTTGCTTATGTATATTGACTTCCTCCAGGAACTTTATTTTGGTACTCATTTTATAACCTTTCCTACCATCCTAAAAATGTATAGCTAGCCCTTAATCCATGCATGACTTTGTGTGTACAACTTTCAGTGCACTGGAGATAAAGAGATGAATATAAAAAAACTGTACCTTAAGCAATTTAAGTAGTTCAGACAGGCAAATATATATTAAACAAATCCAACTTGTACACTATTTAAAATATAAGAATATGGCCGGCAATTCAGCTCAGTGGTTCTGCTGCCTGCCTCACAAACTCAAGCTCCTGGGTTCAATCCCAAGTACCAGAAGAAAAAAAAAATACATACATACACACACACACACGCACACACACACAGAGACTGTGGCATCTGCTTAAAGACATCTTAACTATGGCACTTACATATATATATAATACAATTACGTTCAAAAGGGAAAGATAGCATTGATGAAAACAATTCTTAAACTTATGTCCTAATGTCCTACCACCCATTTCTTACAACTAATTATCACTGAATCCATTTGAGGTTTTAATATCATCTGTCCTCAGGTTTACCAGGCACTCCGCTGAAAGTCAGCTGCAGCAATTTCCAGGGGCACATTTGGAGATTTTTTTTTTTTTCATTTTTGCTGAGGAATTTTTTTTTTTTTTTTTATGAGCACAAGGATGATTCACTCTTTTCTTTTTTCTTTTTCTTTTTTTATTTCATACCAGGAATCAAACTCAGGACCTTGCACTTGCAAGGCAGGCACAGTGCCACTGAGCTAAGATCCTGGGCCTATTTTCTTTCTTCTTTTCTCCTGCCGCCTGCCTGCCCTCCCTCGCTCCCTCCCTTCCTTCCTTCCTTCCTTCTTCCCCCTTTCCCTTCCCTTTCCTTTTTTTCTTTATGGTAGCTTTCTTATTGTTTCTTTTTTCCTTCATGAAATGACTCCTTAAACCTGAAGAGCAGTTTCATTTTTTGGTACCAGGGGTCAAACTCGGGACCTCACACTTGGCAGGCAGGTGCAGTGCCCCTGAGTTATATCCCCAGGCCTGAAGAGCAGTTTTCTAATTTTAATTCTTTAAGCCCCCGTGTATGCATGTATATATGAGAATGTATTTTAGCAACTATAGTAATAGTTGATAATTGAAACTATATAGAAAGCTGACCAGGATTTGCATTATTTAAACCCATGTCCATGTTATTCTCTTCCCATTATTTTGAAATTGCTTTTCTTTGCATTCAAGCTCATGAGCCTTTGGTTACATTTCTTCTTCTTTTTTTTTTCTCTTCCTCTTAAAAAGCATGGTTCTCCATCTCTTGTATAATCAGGGAAGATTAATTTTCTTTTCTTTTGAGATCAGATTGTGGCCCTACTTGTGGGCAGAGATACTCAGGCTATTAAAGTTTTTCTGTTCCCTTGGATTTGTACACGAAGAAATAAGATCACGAAGAGAGCAGGCGGCGGAACCATTAAGCCAAATCCCCTACCCCGTGAAGAGAAATTTTAAACAGACTAAGCCCTGTTGCTCCCGTGACCATATCTGAAATGAGAGCTGGGTACAGGATGAGTGCTTTCTTATATTTAAACTTCTTAAAAAGCAAGCGTTATACATTCTGAGTTGCTTTGCCTCACAGTACAGGTTGAGCATCCCTAATCCAAAATCCAAAATGCTTCACAGTGTGAAGTTTTTTGAGCACTAACTTGATGCCCCGGGTGGAAAATTATACACCGGACCGTATGTGAGGGTCTCAGTCACAACACAGATGCCCTAAAAACGCTACATACAGGGACCTTCAGGCTGTGCATAGAAGGCATATATAAAACAGACGTGAACTTCGCATTGAGACTTCCCAAGATGTCTCATCACGAGTGTGTTTGCAGATAACGTACATAGATCTATCCTCATATATATCTACATAGCTATGGATATCTCCACACACAAATATTCCTAATTCCTAAACTCAAAGCTCCCCTAGTCTTAGGTCTCCAAGTAAGGAATACTCAGCCTGTTCTAGATTGAGTGTTTGGTGGAGATTTGCCATCGGGGACTGAGAACTAAAATTTAAAATAGTGTGTAACACAGCACTGTGTGCTAAGGACATACGTAGCACTGGGTGGGTATCTGTTAGGTTTCTCTCCTGTTTCGCCACTGATGAAAGAATGCTCTGCAGTGTTGTGAAGCTTTTGAGCAGAAATGTAAAACTCGGGATTTGTATTTTGCTATGCTTGCCACTGACTTAATTTTTCATTTTAAAATGAAAACGCATAACTTTTAGTTCAACTTTTTATCCCCCCCACACAAAAAAACTTAGTTTGGCATTTTTTTCACCAGTTCAAGTTTCATGGCATCATGGTTTTGGTCTGCACCTCTGTTCATTACTGCAAGGGATAAAGTGATGTTAAAAGTGAGTGTTCACTGTTGTTGAATTGGTTCCAGAATAAGGAACCTGCCACTCCCCAAAGGGTTCTTATAAATACAGTTTTTAGAGTGCATAGTTCTCACTCATTGTGCCTCTTAATGTTTGTTTGTTTGTTTTTCAGCAGTACTGGGGACTGGACCCAGGACCTTTATGCCAAGCCCCTGGCCCTTTTTCAATTTTTTTATTTTGAGACAGGGTCTTGCTGAATTGCTAAGTTGATTAGGCTGGGCTGGAGCCTGTGATCCTCCTGCCTCAGCCTCCCAGAGTGCTGAGATTACAGATGTGCAGCACCAGGCCCAGCTTCCTTTTCTTTCAGAGAATAGGTACTAGATACTGGAACTCCTATGAGGTGAAGGAGCTCATAGAAGTGGTATTTGTCTTGAAGGAAAAAGATGTAAGATCTATTACGGCTCTTGTTTAGTGGCTGCAGGGACAAGCAAAAGGGTATTTATACTTAGCTCTTCCTGGAGGATGGAAAGAGGGTAGCGCTTTCTTGAAATATGAATGCTGTTATCCTTAAGGTGCCCAGACAGCAGTGTTTCATTATTCTGCTCCGCCTGAGCAGGAGCGGAGGAAGTTACTGGAGCATGGCATTCTTCACTTGCCCTTGAGGAACTCTGACTGGGGAGGCTGGGGTATGACTTTCTGTGACCCCTCTGAAGCCCCAACTCTTTATGAAAATGTGCAGACTTCATTGGTGAATTTGCTCGCAAAAGCTCCTCCTTTAGGTGATATGAGCCCCTGCGAGCCTTCTGTCAGCACACAGAGCTCGGCAGGTGGATCCTGTGACACTGTGTCTAGTGACTCAAAAACTGCCAGGCTCTTTTTTACTGACATGTTTCTTTTTTTAAACTGCCTATTTTAATTTTTTGGTGAGTATGTGTTTGCTGTCTGTATAGTTGCATTCCTCATGGGGAGTCGGTACCTGGGGAAGCCAGACTTTTTCATCAGCGGCTTTGGTGTCACATCGCAGTCCTTGAAGGCGACTAGTTCACTGGGCAATGAGCAGATTCCACTTCTCTGTGCTCGTCATTTGTGAATCCTATGTGCCTATCTTTTGCTCGCCTTGCCCTTCATCGTTTGGGGCTGTGCAGTCCCTGTGGGAGAGTGGTTTTCTGTCGCGGATCTGCCCCTCTCCTGTCACCTGCGTGAGCCTGGTTGTAGTGCTGTTGCCGTTCTCCAACCTGCCCCGTCTGGTGGTGCTGTCCTTCCTCCTGTGCTGGCCTACACCTCGGCCTCTCCCCAGCCCTTAGCAGTCACTGTTACCAGCACGTGGTGACCACTGTCCAAGTGACGATGTAATGGTGGCTGTTCATCTTACTGGGTGCTTAAGCCTGTAGTAGGATATCAATTTTCCTTTTCTTCTGTTTTGGAAAAAGGAATTTGTCTTGGTATTGAGAGCTGGCAGTAAAGGTAAGCCTCTGATTAGCAAAATGGGTATGTGAGTAGCTATAGGGTCTAACAGTGTGATAGGTGTACCTATTCCTCCCTGAATTTCCATAATATGAACAATTATTAGGTATTTGGTGCAGGAATTATATTGTACTCTTAGTTTTTTAATGTGAATAGGTAGATACTGGTTTTAGTTTTTGCATTAATTTTTATCCACTTAAACCTATGTTAGTGTTAAGTCTATTCAGATACATGTGATTAATGACTTTTTTTAAGTATTGGGGAGAGTCTGTATTTTAATAAACT